ATCATAAAAACATAGTAATAAAATAAATAAAAATGTCTGATTCTCTAACAATGAGTAAAACCTAACAAAAGCGCAAAACTATGACTCCAATGTTTGGTGTTTTTCCATAAGAATAAAAATATGGGTTGACAAAAGTACCTTCAATGAATATCCTAATTTTTTTTATTAAAAATATAAAATAAAATAATGAAATAAAAGATGTACACAACAATGATTGTCGCCCCTTCCGAAAAACAATGGGCCGTTCCCTCAAATCACCACCACCACAAGTCACCAACAGCGCCAACCAGGACTTGCACTACTCGATGTCACCGCAATCTCCATCCTTGTCGCCCCCTTCCACAGCGCCGCAGCTGCCAGTCAGCCGTCTTCGCTGCCAGTCAGCTGTCTTCGCCTCCATTCGCCGTTATTGCTGCCAGTCATCAACACTACATCTCTATCTATCATCGTTGTCATCGCCGGATCCCATGCCACTGCCTCCTCTCCTGGCGCGACACTTGCCTCTCACACCACCACCGCTGATCTCAAATCTAGAAAGGGTGCTTTGCAATCTCATCTGACCATTTGAATGCCATATTTAATGGCATTCGTATAAAAACATAGAATATGAATCTTAGTGTCATATTGTAAATATTGTATTTGCAGGAGAAAAAATTGCCTTCATTTTGGGGTTAGTGTCATACTAATGGCACTATGTTCGGAAATAACACTTTTTATGGAAAAAACATGACATTATTAGTATTTGTCGTCCAAGGGGAATTAGTGTCATAAAAATGGCACTAAGTGTCATAAAAACCCAAAAAAGAGGATGGTTCGGAGGTCGTCTTGATGCGGCAAACTTCCCAACATTTTTCTTTTGATTTTCCGGGTATTTTTGAAATCAGAGTTACTGTTTGTCGCCTTTTCCGTCAATTACTAATGGCGTTAGGCGCCGGAATCAAAACACGAGGACTACTTTATTAAATAATGAAACACAGACGCCTAGCTAAAACCCCACCCAACTAGAGATACATTTTCCGTACTTTTCCTAAAATATGTATGCGGATTTCGTCGCTCTATCAACTAATTTATAGTGTTTGGTCTGCCATAAACAAACCCAACCTTTCGAAATTCCCGAATTCTAACCACACCGGAGATAATCATGTCAATCAATAAGAAGTCACATTACATGTAAACATACATGCCAAACATTGATTTTGGTGAACATTAATGGAATAGTATTAAATTAGGTAATTTGAATATATACAAATATTATACAAGAATTGCAAGTTATAACAATGATAAACACAACTAGCTTAGCTTAGAGTCCAGAATAAATTAATTGACACCATTCTCTTTTTTTATCCTTTTACAAAATCATGTTCTGTTTACTAACCATAAGATTGACAACATTAATTTCCTATGATGCAAATGAAGAATACAGTATTATAGGTTAAGGGTAGTGATCAACCACCGCAACAACCACTACCACCCGTTCTTGCAACAGAATTGGAGTCTTGATCAGTAACAATAATCCTAGTACCCTTCATTGTCCCTTGTCTGCTATAATCCAAGCCATCTGCACTTAACGTTTTCTTACTTATGATCCTATAAATCTCGGTGAGAATGTTCATAAACGCAGTCTCCACATTAGTAGCTTCTAAAGCAGATGTTTCCATGAAAAATAGATTCTCTCTTTCAGCGAATTCTTGAGCATCCTCAACCGGTACTGCCCGAAGGCTACCCAGATCACACTTATTCCCTATCAGCATTATCACTATATTCTTGTCTGCATGCCCCCTAAGCTCCTCTAGCCACCTAGCCATGTGGTCGAACGATTGCCTCTTTGTCATGTCATATACAAGCATTGCACCCACTGCTCCTCTGTAGTATGCACTTGTTACTGCTCTGTACCTGACAAACACAAAAGACCTATTTAAGAGTTTGTATAAATTCAAAATATTAGCGCTTGAAGAATTGTTATGGGTGATGAAAACGTGATAAGCGTACACGTTTTGATGTACGCAATTTGTATCCACTAGACCAAACCAGTCACAAATATTCATTAGTCAAGTTAGGCGAAAGACAAATCACATCTGTAAAGAAAATCTATTTTGAAACTTGTAAATTCTTTACAAATACATTGGTTTATGCACCCACAAACATTGGTGTGCGTGCGCACATATGCATGCATTTTTTGTCTAAGACCTAACTTTGGTAGATAATAATTGCGTGTGATGGATTTTCGAGTACCCCGTCTTAACAAAAAAACATGTACACTGGAGTATTGTACAATGTTGACGGGTGATAATGGGAATAGAAGCGCTACAATAAATTTAAAAACTTGCTTGGTAACATTAAAATTGATTGAGATTTTATGAATTCATTGAATTTTCAGAAGTTTATGATTGAAATGACTGAATTGATTTACTCTTGAGTTCTGTATTATATTTAAAAATGTATTTACTTAAAAAATACTATATGTGCAACAAAAAAACTAATACGGAGTATTGTCTTTTTCAGCAAATCGAGTCACAAAAATCATCGCCAGTTTTACTTGTTTTATTTTTTAAAAATATGATGCAGCATGCTGAAACTATTCTGTGGAGCCAAACATAATCTAATATTTATATATAGATAACAAAAATAAATAGTGTATATGTAAAATGATGATATTGCTTCATGAATGTGAGGGCCTCTTCTAAAATCTACTGAAGGCACAAAATGCCCATTGAGGTAAGGGTCATATTCATGTTCATATAGCTTTTGTCAAAATGAAGCAAAACATAAAAATATGTGAAGTTGAGAATAAAAAAGAAGAGATATAGTAAAGGAGGCACCTTTCCTGGCCAGCAGTATCCCAAATCTGAGCCTTAACTGTCTTTTGATCAATAATGAGAGTTTTGGTTTGAAATTCAACGCCAATTGTAGCTTTAGAATCCAAACTGAACTCATTTCTGGCAAACCTAGCCAGCAGCTGAGATTTCCCCACCGCAGAATCCCCAATCAACACAACCTTGAACACATAATCTATCTTTTGATTAAACTCCCCATATAAATTCGTCATTATCCCCAAGATCCACGATTAAAATTTAAACCTTTTCCCTCAACCCACACCTTTCCAACATTTGGATTTCAACATAAGATTGAGGAAAAACACGAAAATGGGAATCCAAGATCGGTGACAATGGGAAATGACCCAAATCTCGATTTCCCGGGAAACTAATAGAAGGAATCAATTCAAATGATTTTCAGGATAGATTTGGAGCAGGGGTTTGTGAAGAAGGAGAGCAGGAGCATTTGGGCATTGTTTGATTTTGCTCTTTTGGTCGAGGAGGAAGGTTTGAGGAAAGAGATGGAGAGAATTTAGAGAGGACCAACGATCAGTGCGGCACAAATTAACCGTTTTTTTTGGTGAGGTAAATCTTCAACATAAAAGGATGCAAGAAATTGATGGAAGAGTAAAAGGCACGTTGTAATCCCTACGTATGTTAGGCTCACAATAATTTGGAATAAATACTCTGGAGTATATTAATAAAATAATAATTTGGAATAGATATGGCACTTCTTTTCTTGCATTCAATAGGAATTTATAATAATGATAGTTATTATTATAATTATTATAATAATTACATTTTTATTATTATTGTTTTGTTATTCCTCTAAAAGTTTGTTGAATAACATGATAAAAAAATAGAGGAAACCTATAAGTCGAAATTGTTATCATCAATGATGGACTAAAAAACTAACATAAATTAAGAGATGAAATAACAAAACGAAAATTCCAAGGACAAAAAATAAAATGTATTATATTGATAGGGCCGGGACTAAAACATATTTAAACGTTAGTTTTATTGTTCCAAACATTTGGAAGAAAAAAACTGTTAATATTTTTCTACTTTATATTATATAAAGATAAAGATAAAAATAAATAAATTGATCCCACATCGGGAACTAATATTTGAGCAAAAAAACATTACAACTTTATTACTTTATACGAAGTATATATCATTAAAAGTGAGTTTAATGCATCAAACCCCGTTATGATATAGAACTGTGATGCATCAACCCCTTATGATATACAAAGTGAGTGCAGTTTTGTACACCCTCACTAAGGAGGGTGATGTTCACCCCCCTTACTCTATGGTTGCCATGTGGCATTCCATCCCATTTTTTTCTTTAAAATGTTATAACTTTTTTATTTATAGTCTACTTTTTATAAAAAAATATATCAGATTTTTTAGTTTTTTATGATCTTTCCAATGATATCAATTTTGTATATATAAAAATTTGAAAAAAAAAACATTTATTTCTAAATATCTATTTTTTGTTCATTTTTTTTAAATTTTTTATATGCAATATTAGTACCATATGAAAGATCATAAAAAAAAGAAAAATTTTGATATATTTTTTTTTAAAAATGGATTAAAAAAGAAAAAGATAAAACAATTTCCAAATTGTGAAGTATTGTCTTGCCACATGGCAGGCAAATAGGGGTGGGGGTGAACATAACCCTCTCAAATGAGGGTGAACAAAATTGTTCTCAAACAAAGTGCATCAAACTCTCATGTGTTATTATTAATCATGGGCAAAATCTCTTCAATGAACAAATTTAGTTGTCAAATAAAAGAAAAATGATTAGCACTTTCGTATAATTCAAAGATTTTGACAAATTAAATTGCATATTCAATTATAATATTAAGAAGTGATTTTAAAATTGTTAAATTAATTCACACAATGGGTTCTGTGCATAAATGATTATAACATTTTGATGATGTACATTGAGGAATTAGAGTTTTGCCTGTGAGAGTAAACTGAAGGCTTTGATGTGCAGAAGGAAGAAGATTTAACAAACTAGTTATTCCGTGCTTTTTGATATGGTGAAACAGGAATACAAATAGCAATAAATAATACTCTATATTACTAGAACATATACTGAGTATTATTAATGAAAAAAACTAAATTACTGAGTAAGTATATAAGACAAACCATATTTTAAACATGTACCGATGTACGAACCATTTCAGGAAATGCAAAACGTGGGGTTTAAAATTGTGTGATAACCCAAAAAAAGGACCGCAAAGGACCCATAGAAGCTTTATTGACCTATAAAATAAAGGAAGACAACTGAAGCAATACATACATACATAGCCCCTATGCTTAGCTACTTAATCTATGATTCTGTCCTATTAAATCTGTCCTTAACATTGTTAGTTTAATTCGTAACATATAATCATACTATAGGTATAGCTAATTACTGTCCCTTCAACGCGCTTCGCTAATTCTCAAAAAGACAAGAAAAGAAGAGATTAAAAACAATATAACAAAACATATGCTTCAACTCTTGTATATTTCCTTCCCCTTCCCATGTTGTAGCCGAAGTCTTGGGGACAGCCCTCTGCTTTTTACAGCAATAAAGTTAGACTCTTTTATCCGAAGCTGATGAGCATTTGCAATTTTCTTGATAGCCTGTCAGCGTCTGAAAATCAAACCAGATAAACGTGTTACGAACCCCAGGCCCGGTATTGATGAATAATATTAGTAATCAGAAAAAGTTAATTACAACATAAGTACCGTGTACTGTCTTTGAAGATCTTTAATGTACTCAACAGCAAAATCTAACATATCCGCCGTGTTGGTTTGCTGCATAAAGAATCAACAGATAGTTATCTTTTTCACTCAAAGACAAAAATTAAATAGAAAAGCATGTTCTGTTATAATGTGGCACCTTAAAGTTGAAGATAATTGTTCCAACTAATACCAAACAGATTTAAATAATCTCAACTATAAATTAGTTCAACAAAATCCCAACGAACAGGTTCATTTTATCAAAATTTTAATTCCATTTTAGAATTAAAAAATATTATGAGTATATGACTTCCAACATCTGATGTTTATTTAACAAAATTTAATAATATGTGACACTTCCAACGTTTGGTTTTCCACTAGTAACCTTATGCTTATATTTCATTTGATGTTGTTACTCTTAGAGTTCACCTCGAACAAGTGAACAACCAGCCAGTTCATTTGAGGGCCCGGGACGGTTAAATTCATACATTGATAAGTAAAGAGAAAATGGCGAGTTATTAAGATCTTTTGTTGAACTAGCTAAGAAAATGAATTTAATCTTCTAGTGAGTTTTGAGCCAACTCTCATGACTCAATTTATCAGCTTTTACCATATTTATGTCTCCAGATTTCTGTAGTATGGCTCCTCTCATAATGGGGGTCCTTATCTCTTCTTAACTTTAAATCTATAAGATCAATCTAATGGACTGTGTCTCATATGTTGGTTCGCAATTTTATAAACGCGAAAAAAGGCAATGGTTTTTTCACCCAACAGTAATATTTAAACGTAACGCATCATAATAAAATGAAGAAGAGACTAACCTTGTCCATGTTAGGGACAAGCTCTTGTAGTTTTCTCATTCTTTCACTAATACGGGTTCTTCTCACCTGAAACACACACCATATTAAGCAAATGTTTCGATAACTAAAGCCACATTCATTATAAAAGAAAATCAATTCTAGTTGTGCTATTATTAGTGTGTTGGAGCATCTCATATCGATCATATGCATATAAATGTAGTCAGTCCTACATACCCTCTCTGCAATGCTTCTTGGATGAGTAGCACAACCACGTTTGGCACGGATGTTCCAAGGAACGCTGTCTGGAAATTGGGACAATTTCTTCTCCAAAGCAGCAACTTCACCTGATGTCTTTGGTAAACTCAATTGGCGCGACATATTTTGCCTTTGTCCCCCTATACCTCCAACCTGTGCTTATTAACATCAGTTCCAATTGTATGCTTCAGAAAAATTCCGACAACCCGAATAATATAAACGTTAATATACGTCAAAAGTGATCTCAAGATGTTGACATTGCCTTTCGTTTATTTTGGAGTCAATTCTTTCCTCATTATTTACTCAATTTAGGGCAATTATAGAATAACTTTCACTATCTTTTTCCATAGATGGACTCATGGACACGCTTTCACTGCTGTGCACTTAGGTGACCTATATAATTTTCACAGGCGTAGCCATGCCAATATGGTAGTTAGCTTTTATACCTAGGGGTGGGTCTGGTTCCCATTCCAGAACTACTCAGACCGGAATTATCCATGTAAAACACTGGAGCATTGGCCTGTCTTTCAATTCTGGTCCAACTCGAGTACGCTTCCTGGTTCTTTCAAAATGGGTTTGGGCCAGATTTTATTTTATAGGCTAAAGAACCAGAACAGAACTGGTTTTGAATCAGATCCGTACCAGGAAATTCCGATCCTGATTATCCTTGGAACCGGTCCCCTCTAATCATACCATTTTAAAACACAAGTGTTGAACATGACTCAACTCTTTAAAAGAGCAATCAAAAGGTTGAGAGTTGTCCAAATACTTGCTGAGAAACTCACATTTTCGAATTTGAGCCGTGCTTGGTGTACACCTTTTGTACACCCCTATTTTTGTTTGTATGCACAAAGGATTTGCTTTTTTTAAGATGAACTGTCTATGTACACAGACAAAAATAGGGGCATACAAAGAGTGTACACCAAAAGGTGCACAAACAAAACTTTCGTTCGAATTTAACCAATATATGAAACTCTCGGAAGGAAAAAACAATGTTGGCTTATTTACTTGAGTGTTAGCTGCAGCAAAAAGGTTGAGGCTGTCATCGTCCAGCTCCATTTTAAGGCTGTCTGCAATGTTTGGAGAACCACTCCAAGATGCAAATTGTAGTCCCGAGCCATAACTAGAGATTCCATTTCCTGATGCAGCTCTTTCCTCCTCATCCAAACAAGACCCCATAGTGCTCTCATTCTCAGCCTCTGTGATTTGAGGCAACATCCCCAATGAAGAATGTGCACTCGATGAGTAACTCAATGGACTCTTCATATTCATCTCTCCATTAGCCATTCTGTACCCACCAACACCATCTCCTCCTCTTGTTGCTGAATAACCTGCAAATTGTGATGATATCTTAAACCCCGAAGTTGGCCTGAAGTTCATTTCGTTGCCATCATACATATTCTTTGTATGACTTCAAATGTTGTTATCTTCTTAACACAATAATGAGCATAAAATAAAGATATTCACAATTAGTTCACATCTTTGACAACTTTTGGTATTTGACTATTGTTTTTCGTGCATATGTGGTCCTTCCGTCGATAATTCTGGTGGTCAAAATCGCAGGAGAGACATCGAAATATGGGATGGAAAGAGGACAAATAATCAAGAAACATTAGTCAAACACCAAAAGTAGATAAAGTGAAAAACATAGATTAAATGTGGAATTGACATAAAACTCGTAGACCAAAAGCGGAAGTAATTCCACTTTCCTTCTCAAAAAATCAACCCAACAGACATGAAAAATTAAAGAAGATGGGAAAAACACAATTCCTCAACAAGGTCACCTGCTTCTCTTCTCAAATCTCAATCCTAGAATATTTTTCATTACCTTGGATGATCTTTCGTCCATTATTGTAAGTTAAACAGTAACTTAACGGTGAACATTCACATAAAACCAGAACAATAGTGATATAAATAGCAATAATATAAGCATCATAATACCATCTCCTTTTCTATATTTATTGCAACTATTTTACCTTTTACTATTCAATGTTCTATTTTAACTATGTTTTTGTCTATATAATCAAAAACATTATTATTAAAAACAGGGGCGGATCTATAATTTGCTCATCTTGGGCGTAATTCAAAAACTCAATATGTGTAATCTTTATCAATTAAATTATGACAGTAAATCAAAACGCTCTCAATAACTAAAGTATGAGTTTTGGATATATGTTATACACAGGGGAGGGTTCAAATATAAAAGGAGTAGGGGCGTCAGATAGGCTCTTTGGACGGCTAAGATTAATTCTTGTTTTAAACGTCAAGACATTTTTTTATTTGATCCGAACTCGTTATACACATTCCAAGTTTTGTAAGAATTAAAAAATTAATATAACAAATGAGTAGCCCCTAATTAGAAGTACTATCAAATATCTCTAAATGTTAATATATAAAAGAGGATTTTTCTTTATATCTTTTACCAATAGCTATTGAAATCGACTAATGATCAATATTGTGCATCAAAAATATAAAAGTCACACGATTGCAAATAAATCAAAATAGATGATTCTTTTTAGAGTAAAATAGAGGAAATATTTTATTCAAATGCTCCAAGATTCTAGATTCCTTAGAACTACATATATGGATATGGATAACAAAGTGATTTACACATTAATAAAATTGGAAAACTATGCATATCATTATTATATCACTCTGAGTTTATTTTGTCTCTATCGGACTACCAGCGATGTCACTGCAACCACCACTGGCGCGGCCTCATTGATGAAGCAACTAGTGTTAGTGCCAGAGCCAAACATGTCATTGTGATCGTTGGAAAAAACTTCAATTTTTTCAGAACAAAATACAATACGATTTGGTTGTGGTCCGTTGGGGGCCGGCGGTGAGAGGTTAAAGGGAGGAAAAATTAATATTTAAAATTTAATCATACTTTTGGACAAGATAAAAATTAGTCACATTTTTGTCTTTTGGAAGTATAGATGTCATATTCATGTACTTTTTCCAACCATTATTTCACTCCAAAAGATGCACTTGTGTTATTATTGAGCTATGCTTGGTGTACCTCATTTGTACCTCACCTTTTGTGTGGTTCACAAAAGCCCAATCATTAAATCAATTGTTCCACTTTAATGACTTGCCTTTTGTGAACCACACGAGTAGAGGGGTACATCTGGATACCCCAAAACGGGGTACCTATAGTATTTTTCGTTATTATTTGCTCCACGTGTGTTTTTGGAACTCTCACCCTATCAATGATATAAATATCCTTGTATTATTTCTTTTATGTTTTTACATACTCCGTATTTGTTTGTACTCTTATAATTCATACAATTTTTCTACCCTATCCATGACTGATGCAATTTTACTCTTAACTTCTACAAGATGGGGAAAATATTTTGAGCATGCCAACGTGCTCACTACGGAGATAATATAGTGAACATGTTGACGTGATGAATGGTCAGTATTTATTCATCTATAAATTTTTAAAAAAAGGTCATTCATCACATATTCACATCAACGTACTTCGTAGTGAACACATTGACGTGTTCCATACATTTTCTCTCTAAGACACCTACTTGAACGAGTAAAAGTAAACGAAAAGAGCATATGATTATTTTTGTGGATGAAATACAATACCATTAATAGTAAGCGATACCACATTGAGAAACTACAACCATATCAACTAAACAAAAAAGGATATACATCTGATACTCTCAGTTCTATCACCTTATGTCTTTTTTGTCCTTGTAATAGTACACAGAATTAATCAAAAAACGGCATTTATTGGCTGATCTCCAAACTAATCCTCCGTTTTCATGCTTTAATTTCCCAGATAGGAAATAGTACTCAACTTGAACATAAAGTCAAATGAGAAAACAAGAATGAATACGAGTGAGTATCTGGTCTGATTAAGACATATCGGCGTATAAATATAATTTATAAAGCACACATCTAGGTTTTGTTTCAAATGAAAAGTAAATTGCTACCTTAATAGAGAATTAAGAATTCGTGCACTGGATTAGTTTCAACTTTCAAGATCTAAGTTTGAAAAACAAACAGCGTACACAAAAATTCATTAAAATACATTGAAAGTTGTGAACAATAAAGCTTTGCCCACCTCGAGATATCCACCCTACTTTATTAGAACGTACAGTAGCAGATATACATTTCCAAATCTGATAATCAGAGCAACCATTCTTACTAGAATCGTACTGTAAACATTTCCTTAAAAGGAAAATCACAAAAACATGCAATAAATACTCTGAATGATGTTTGAAGATAGTACCTACCATTTAGAGGATTGAGATTTGAGAACAAGCCAGGGGGGGAACTGTTCTTTTTGGTGAGATTTGATGAGCCCAATAGGGCAGCTGAGCTTTGCCTTGGGATAGGAGGTGGAAAAGCAGAAACCCCATCAATGAACCTTGAAGAATGAGCAAAAGCAGCAGAAGCAGTTTCTGGATTTGCGAAACTGTCAAGAAAAGAGCTTGGGGCAGAGCCAAACCTGAGCAACCCAGAACTTCTCTGCTCACTGTTATTATGATTACTGCCACCAAAGAACCCTGTGTTTGGGGAGGAGTCCATGAATTGATGAATAACCCTTGTTTGGCTTCCGGAAATTCAGGGGAAATTGAATATTTCAACAACCAGCTAGCTAGCAGCAGAACCAGAACCGCTCGGACTTTGGCCTTTGGGAATCTTCAAACATTTCTTACTTTCTTTATACTTTTATCAACAACTGCTTTCTTGTTAAGCAGTATGTCTTCAAGTCCAAGGAATATAGAATAGTTTTTCTTTTCTCTTTTTTTCCTTTCTTTTATCTATAAATATAATATATGTGGAGCAGCTAACAATAATAATTAATGGTGGGTTTTGTACCAGGCCTTAGATCTATGCTAATTTTGGGAGCTTGAACATGGGAATCAGATGGAGTAATTATAGTAAGTCGTTGATGGAGGTTTTGGATTGTTGCAGAATTGATGATGAGGTGGGTGGGGACTGAAAAGAGAAAGCACTGTGGACACCAATCTTTTCAGGAATTTCTAAATTGGGTGGGGATATCGATCAGCAATCAGCACAGCCCCTATATGGACAAAGAAAAGAAAAGAAAAGAAAGAAATATGTTATACTTTTCCGTGCGTGTGTGTCGGCGGGGACCTCTTTTCACCACTCTTTTTTGAAGTCGTCTAATTAACATTTATCACGTAGGCTAAGATAAGATTCAAACGTTCTGTACAAATCTATAGAGGGACTATTTGGAGACTAAATTTATAGATCCAAACTCGATTCTTAAAATTGTTTATGCTCCTTTATAGTGTAAAAGTAGAAGTTGAGTGAAAGTGGAGAAGTGATTCTAACGTTCTAATTTACTCCTAGAATAAAAAAAATTAAAAGTTGGGGGAGACCAGCTTCTGAAAACTGATTCTAATTCCTTAATAAAAAAGTAGAAGCAGAATCAGTTTCAAACACCCTCTATATGTTTCTCCGGCTTTATCAGTAATCCCCCCAATATATAATCTTTAATTTCACTCGCTAGATAATAGTATAATACTCCCTTCGTCTCGAAAAGGTTTGTCAAAGTTGACTTTCACGTGAATTAATAAAGTAAAAAATATGTGGTTGAAATTTGTGCAGAGGAGAGAGAATTAATTTTAGCCACATATTTCTTACTTTAAATGGAAATGACAAATCTTTTTGGGACATCCAAAAAAAAAGAAATTTGACAAACTTTTTCGGGACGGAGGGAGTATAATAATTAAAATAAGTAAAATTGAAATTACATTTTTAACTGAATTGACTAAAGTTATTATATATGACAATTTAAACTTCATGTAAATAACTTCAATTTGAATCAATTTCTATATTAAACAACATTAGAATCAATAAGTCTTTAGGTGCTACTATATGTAACACCTCAATCAATAAAATCATCTCACTCGTTGTATCCAAAACAAAGCTCAATTAGACATGCCAATATATTAAAATCGCTAAAATTATTACTTTGCTAAAATTATTACTTGTAACGTACTATCCTCCCTTTTTATTGCAACATGTTGAATTTTATACTATTCACATGTTCTACTTTGACTACATTTTACACTATTATTTTATGAGATTTTTTTTAAATATTGTTCAATTTATCTCATTACAGATTTTCAAAATCTAATTTTTAAATTTTTTATACTGATAGAGATTAAAATATAATTACAGTCAAAGATGTGTGTTGACAAATGTGAAATGTTGACCGTTATAACTAAACGAGAACGGAGAAGTATTAGATACACAAACATGATCTCAATATATCTTTGAATGATTTGTCACATCATTGTCATCTTCAGTCTAACATACAGTAGTCCCGTACCCTAACATTGAAACAATAAGTGTGGTACGATCATTAAAGAGGGTAATGTTGTGAGTGAATGGTGAATTGGTAAATGTAAATAAAGTAATACGAGTATTACTTCCTTGTGATCATGTAAAAAATAATTTCAAAACTACTCGGTATAGTATAACCAAAACAAAATTAGTGGACCAAAATATAATTCTATTAACTTTATAGACTATAATTGTCTTCAAATGTTATATCTTAAAGACCATCAAATTACTTGTAGTAACTTATACGTAAAGACCATCAAATTACTTGTATTAACTTTAGAGACTATAATTGTCTTCAAATGTTATATCGTAAAGACCATCAAATTACTTGTAGTAATTTATAGTCATGCTTTTGTCTATATATGAAAGAGAAAATTGAGAAGAAAATTATTATTTTACCAATCTAACCTCAAAAACTAAAAAAGAAATAGGATGAATCGCCAAAGTGTAAAAGGTAAAATGATAAGTAATTGATCAAAATGGGAGTAAAACATTAAAAAAGTTCTACAATAGGAGTTATCTATAATTAATTTATACCTTAAATAGAAGTAATTGAATTACTGTTCCTATTACGTCCACTCCACTAAATGTGTTTACAAAGTTTGGATGCCGGTCTTTTCTTTTCTCTCACCTCCCCTCTTTCCTCTACCCACTTTGTCTTCCTATCCCACCCCTCTTCTCTTGTCTTCAACAATAATTTTAATTTTATTTAGAAATTACTTCAAATAAGACTAAAACTATGACAAAAACTCAAAATAGGACTTGCTATGTTTTTTTTCCAAAATAGGACCATAGTGGTCCTATTGGAAACATACTCATTTCTTCCTTCCATTCTTACCCCTCCTTTAAATATTAGTAAAAGATAGCTAAAAGTCAAAAATAAATGTTTAATTCATAATAAATTCGAAAAAATTTCAATAATTCGTAGAAAAATAATAAAAAAATTAATAAAATTTTTATAAAATAAAAAAATAAGGAAAAAAAAAATTTTATTTTTTTTTTAAAAAAAAATAATAAAAAATAGTAAAACTCCATAAAAAAATTAAAAAAAATATGGATACGTTTCCCACCGCCTGTACTACCTCCCTAAACCACCACCTCCGATCGGTGTAAAAAATGCCACATTTTTTTTTAAATTCCACAAAAATGGCATATTTCTCTATGAGAATGCCAACATTTTCATTCTGCCAACTTGAATCCTTTTGACTTTTGCCAAAAATATGGCATTCATAATTTTTTTGGCATTTTTTTACCCCGGTGACAGGAGGTGGTGGTACCGCCTCCCTGCACCACCACCTCCGACCGTTAAAAAAAATGTCATATTTCCTACAAACTTCCATTTTTTTCGGAAAATGCCAAAAATATGGCATATTTCTCTTTGAGAATGCCAACATTTTTTTTCTTCCATCTTAAATCATTCTGAATTATGCCAAAAATATGGAATTCATAATAAATTTGGCATTTTTTCCCCAAATGACTAGAGGTGGTGGTGCTGGGGCGGTATAGGCGGCGGTGACAAAAAAAATATTTTTTTGATTTTTTTTTTATTTTTTTTAATTTTTTTTATTTTTTATTTTTTTTTTAATTTTTTTTTAAATTTATTATTATTCAGAATATTTTTATTAATTTTTTGGTATATTTTACGAATTTTTTTTATTTTTTATTATTTTATTATGAATTAAAACATTCCAATAGGTATAAGGGTATATTTGTCCAAGACAAACATAATTAGTCCTATGGAAACATAGTTTATTTTTTGGTCCTATTTGTGCAAAGTGAATGACTTTTAGTCCTATTTTGATAATTAACTCAATTTTATTATGTTGATGTAGATTTCTCCCATCTCCGGTGATTTTTAGAGGTATGGATGAAGAATTTTTTCTCCATTTTCGACCACTAGTGAGCGACTAGCGGTGACGGCCATTAGTGAGCGGTGACCATGTATGGATTATGAATTTTCTTCTTTTTCTCCTCCTCCTCCTCGTTCTCTTCCTCCTCCTTCCACCATCTCTATTTTTGTTATATGTCAAATTTTTTATTTATTTCGATTTTTTAATTTGATATGTGTTGGTTTATTATTATTATTTTTGAATTTGACGATGGCACAATTATAAGTATTTTTCCCATTAAATATAATCTATTGGAAAATTGATTCACAATAATATCATTTTTATGCAATGCCTTTATATTTTTATTACATTGAATTTGAAAATGTCCTTCGAGAATGAATATCATTTTTATGACACTAACATTACATGAATATTACTAGACCCTTTTCATGAATATTACTAAATTAAATTCAAGAGTCAAAATATATGACTTAATTTGAATTTTTCATAAAAGTGACATATACAGTGACTACTTCCCATTGACTCATCATCTACCAGTGACTTATCACTCTAAAATATACTACAGTGATTTTGTCCAGTTACTCGTACATAGTGACTAGTCATATGTTTCTACAATAACATAACTACTCATACTTTTGTCCAAGAAAACTATATTTGTAGTACACTTGTCATTTTTTCATAATACTACTTTTGAAAAATGTCAGTGCCATGCTTTTTATCTTAAAATGACATCTTATTTCTACCAGGGTGGCACTTCAAGTACAATATGGCACTCCAAGTGTAAAATGGCACTTCTATGATAGTCATGTCAGACCAGAAGTCAGATCCGAGATTTGAAGTGGTAGGTGGTGGTCTGGTGGATGAGGTCGGCATTGGAGATAGAGGCAGCAACAGGTTGTGGCGGGGTAGGCGGCGGCGATATCGGCGTAGGTGGCAGCGACAGCACCGGTGGTGACAATGACATTGGAGATTGAGACAATAGTGGTGGCAAGGCAGCGGCTGTCGTCGACGATGACAAGTGGAAGAGCCACTGGCGGCGGCGACAGGTCAAAGCACCACCGGAATGATAGGTCGAAGCATCACCGGCGGCGTCAGAAGAGTCTACAGGTGGTGAAGGATGCAGAGAAGGTGGTCATCATCGTACCCCCAGAGTTGTGTGTGTTGTAGTGTTTAATTTTAATATTTTGATTTCAATTATTAATAAAGAAAAAAGCTTGAGATATCATTAAGAGTATTTACGTCAAGCAATTCTTTTTTACTCCTACTGACTATACGGAAAGTTGGAACTCTTATTTTGCCTAGAGGCCGTTTGGAGGCCTTAGAATAGGCTGATCGTGTAAGTAGGAAAAAAATGCCAAACACCCATCCATTGGGCTGTTTTGGCTCATAATTATTATCAAGAAAAAACAACAACTACATGGCTACTTTATTAGCTGAAATCCATTATTTCACTGTTGGTTAGTAAAGAGATCATCTTATCCTTCTTTAGTTGATGGAAAATGCTTGGAACAGGTCGTTGATGGCTCCAGAATCTCTCCTTCTCGATCGAAGTCTTCATGCTCGGCTGCTCTCTCTCTTCTTCTTCTTGCGAAATACTACATATTATGATAATGATTTTCTATGTTATGAAATACATCGTTGATGTTTTCTTTCTGAGAGATCCAGGTTCGATGTTACTCCGTATTTATGGTTCTTACTGTTCTAAAGAGTACTGCTATATAATACG